CTGTGCAACGTTGACATATGGAATGGATGAGACGGTTGATGAAGACCATAGGCACTTGAGCCTGAGCCCTGAGCCTGGTTGCGGCGACGTGCCAAATGAGGTATGGCGTGTGATCTGAAGACTTCATCAATGCACCGAGCTGCTGTGATACTCTTGCCTCTTCCTGGACCGATGTTCTGGAAGACCACAGGGCCGACCCCACACTATGAGTCTCTCTCAACAACAAAAGCATCCGAATAACGTTCCCCACGGCGTCGCGAGACTCTCTGTCTGCCATCTGCTGTTGAGATGCAATAATGGCTCTCGTCTGAGACTCTTCTCCACTGCTAGTTGCGCCAATGCTGCTGCTGTGTTGCCCACTGAAGACGGTCCCGGCGATGACGTGGTGTCAGAATGGGTCCTCGGTGTGGCCTGTGACAGTTGCGGTGTCTGCTCGTCAATTGTCGACGCACGGTGTCCGCACTAATGTGTCGCTGGTGTGTACCCATGGTCTGTCGAGCAGCAGCAGTAACAAAGCGATCTTGAAGATGCTGTCGCACAATCTGACGATCCTGACGTCGTGTGGTGACCCTTGGTCTTCCACTACGTGGTCGGTCATCTGTAGTGTTGGTGGTCTGGTACCGTTGCTGGAGCCTGTATATGGTCCTTATATGGACTTGAAATGCATTGGCTACTTGCCGGGTGGTTTGTCCCGCTTACAATCGTCCAAGGGCTTGGTGACGCTGTTTTCTTGTCAATCTTGGCATGTGGTAGCAATTCAATAACGAATGAATGTTATCCGATATGGATGTATTTTCATAGGGCAAGACATTGGGGAACGCATGTGCATTTCAATTTATACGGAACTCACGTGCATCGGGTTGCCATGGACGTTGTCGTGATGCGTTTGAGCGATCGGTTTAATTGTCATCTGCTTTGTTTTTCAATCATCAAATTTCATTTTTCCGGACATGGTAATGTTAAATTTGAGAAACTTTGACAAATATTACCCAGATATTTAAATGACAACATTTCATGCAATGTTACCTGGGGTGACGTTTTTAACAAACAAACCGGACATTGTGTTAATATGCTGATTATTGATGATGTGGAAGGCGCATCAATGTGACTGACTCAAATCGCCATATGTCACTGCTCAGTTGATGCAAAATCATTACGTTGGATATGAAACTGACATAGATAATTTATCATCTCAACGAATCCCCTCCCCAAAAAATACTTTCAACTGGGAATCAATATAAAGAGTTCGGGGCTCGGCGATTTCCATTGGATCTCATGCACAGCATCAGATCGCATCTAGCTGTGTTGACAAATTTACGTTCTCACCAATTGTGAATGTTAACTCAGGAAAGAAGACAAACAGTGTATATTTCGCCAAGGGAAAGGTTAGTTCAACTTTGTTTTGTTTCGGACCGCCTCCGTGGTCTAGTGGTAGAGCGTCCGCCCGGAGAGCGGCAGGTCCGGGGTTCGATCCCCGGGCGCGTCATACCAAAAGACGTTAAAAGATGGTACTTGTTGTTACCCTGTCTGGCGCTCGTCATTAAAGGGCTAAAACAAGAACTGGTCGGCTCGGAGTCAGTATACTGTGTCTGAATGGGGTATTCATGTTTAACTGCGGCATGGTGTCTCAGTGAGCTAGCACTATAAATCGGCCCGGACTAGTACAAGCAGCCACACAAACACAAACACGTACATGCACGTCGCTATATAAGTGCAAAAATCTTGGACGCGACGTTAAATCCAGTTTCACCTCACCTTGTTTTGTTTTGTGACATACGTTGTACAGTGGAGCGGCTTAATGTCAAGAAAAAGGCACAGTGCATCGGCTTTTGAGGTTTGTTTGCTTGTTGTTGTTGTTTGTTGTTATAACGCCGCACTCAACAATATTCCAGCTATATGACGGCGTAGTGTAAATAATCTAGTTTTGACCAGACAATCTAGTGATTGACATCAAGACCATCGATCCAAGCAATTGGGATACAACGACATGCATCAACCAAGTCAGCGAGCCTGACCACCCATCCCGTTAGACGCCTCTTACGACAAACATAATCGTCTTTTACGGCAAGCATGGCTTGCTGAAGACCTATTCTACACCGGATCTTCACGGGTCGGCAAATGAGGTATTGTACATTGCGATGGTGACGAGATGTCCTCAAGAATAGCATTGTAGGGGATAAGTGGGGAGGAATGTTTATTAAATATGTTTCAAGTTTATTGGCCGCCATTTCGAATATGGCCGGCATTTTATGCCTGAAATTCTGCCTGCTGAAAAACTTACTTAATACTATGAAACCAAATTATATTTAAAAACGGAACACAAATATTTAAATGGTTAATTTTAAGGTATCAAATGATTGAAAAACCGTGGCCGTCATTTCATCGACATTTGTTTCTATTGCTATTACATAGTTATGAAACTTAATGATAAATGACACACATATGTTACAGTAGATATCTGTGGCAGAGATAAATCATTCATTAAATGTCATCAAAGAAGAAGTTGATCAAGTTAATGCATGTCAGACACCAGTAGCTACATTCAATCAATTCATATGGAGAGTGGGCACGGGTGGCCCAGTCGTCTAAGGCGCCGCGATTCGCTGTGCAGAGTTGCGTCCCTTAGCACGCCAGAAACCTATGATTGTGGGTTCGAATCCCGGTTCGCCCCGATTATGTTTCTAGGTTTGTCAGCACCATACCCGTGCTCGTGGGTTTCACCGTTGGTAAACGTCTGAGACCTGCATCACTTCGGGCTTTCCTTCCACATTTAGCTTATATAACTGGAATACTGTTAAAAGCGGCGTTACACCTCACTCACTCACTCACTCACTCACATATGGAGAAGATCACAATGTCATGACAATGATGTTTGGGGGACCCTGGATATGATACAGATTGGAGCCACCCGTGCCCACATTGCTAGAACTTTTGGTTGCTCCCATGGTTCTGTAACTAACCTGATGAAACGTTACAGACAGACCGGGTAGACACCAGACAGACCAAGAACAGGCAAACCAAGGGTAACTACGCCCAATGAGGACCGGTACTTTGCATATCCGGAATCGATTCCTGACATCGACGTAATCAGTGACGAATGGTAAGTCGAAAGACAGTGGCCAGTCGACTCAGTGCTCAAGGAATTAGGACTGACAGACCTTACAGAGGACAGCTATTGACATATCAACGTCGTCGTCAGAGATTGAGAGGTACCCTGACTGTACGCCGGTGGAAGCGACCTGACTTGCAGAGGGCCGTCTTCACTGATGAAAGCCAGATCTTTCTGTTCATAGCTAATGGAATACGGCGTGTTTACCGCAAATTGTGTTGCGTGTTGCAAATTTCAAACTGTTCACAAGGTCCCTAGATCAACTGCTTCCATTGGCTTTTGCACTCGATCACATAGGCTGTACGTTGGTTGGCGGTACTTTGGAGACACATGACATCACTTCCGCAAACTCCTCCAGGAATCTGCAAAATGGACGGTTTGTTGTTAGAAAGACCCGTTGAGCATTCACGTCCTTGCCTATTGACCAGACGGTTGGCTTGGTAGAGCCCAACTACTACGAACACATCTCAAACAGAGGAAAGGATTTCAGCAGTATTTCCAGGAACAGCATCTGCCAAAGATACACTGGGAAATGCTTTCTCCGAAGAAACTGACGAACTCCTGACATTGGACAACAGAACCATTACATACAGCAGCCTTGTGAAGACAAACAATCAAATAGAGAACATTGGTGTAACACTATCCAGTATGGCCAGAGGCTGTGTAGAGGTGGGCTTATTGTGTTCATCAGAAGAAAGGTTACTGACCCCCCTTAAAAGGTTGAGTGTCTTTTCATGACCAGGTGATGGTCATAAATCGGACAGTTGTTGACAAAGAGTTTCCAGTGTATTGTACCACGAACTTGTGTCGACCCCCCTTAAAGGTTTGAGTGTCATTTCATGACCAGATGATGGTTATAAATCAGACAGTTGTTGACAAACTGCTGAGAAACTCCTATATAAACCGCACTGTCAGTGTAGTCGGGGAGAGAGGCAGAGAAGGGCGCTGAACACTGACCAGGACCAAACCGACAGAGCAGTCCAGAAGAAACGGCAGAAGAACACGAGCCAACGGCAAACAGCTAACAGTCAAGTCACCGCTCAGAAGGCCAGCACACTGGGACGAGCTCTAGTCACACAGGGTCACGCCTGAAACAGCCCATAGCCTCTCCCACAGTCTCTGCCACGCCCTTGTTAAGAGTTCGTAGTACCAGCGTATAAAAATAGTCCTTGTTATTATTAAAACTGCTGAAACCGAAGACCGTGTTTGTCTGTTGTGCTACATATAGAGCACGTTGGAGTTCTTCTTTGGTGCCGTGACCCGGATCCCTCTCAAAACAAAGGAACAGCCTGGGACAAGTGAAGACTGACGCTCAGACCAACTCGGGTAAGTAGCTCGGATTTCTTCTGTTTCATTTTTCGTTATGGCTGGCAAGGAATTGGGAGAATTTTTGACAGGGATAGCAGGACAAATAACGGGACAGTTAGCTAATCTTTCGACAAGCTTAGGAGCGCAGGGAATAGCGCAGGTTATTAAAACTTTTGAGGGGGAACCTACAAAATTTAAGGAATGGTTAAAAAGCATAGCAAAATACGCAGTACTAACAAATGCAGATCAGGAAAGAATAAAACTGGTGGCCTATCAGTCAAGTTCAGGGGCAGTTAGCGATTTTAGTCATAGGTATTTACAAGATCATGATCAAGCAGCATGGCAGGAATTAAAGCATGAATTAACGAGGAGATTTGCTGAAATAACAGACCCACAACATGCGTTCATGTTGTTGAGGGCAGTAAAACAAAAATATGGCGAAAGTGTGCAGCTGTTAGCAGAACGGCTGCTGAATCTTGCCGAAGACGCATATACAGGTTTAGGCAGGGACGGGAATGCTGCCGCGATAGAGCGCCAGTTAGTAGGATTTTCTATAGATGGTTTGGCCTATGATTACTTAAAAATGAAAGTGATGAGGGAAAACCCACCAAACCTCGCCACAGCTGTGACAGGCGCTACGCATGAACAGAACTTGCGTGCTAGATTTAACTTGAGACTAGGAAAGGGAAGCGGGTCAATGGATGACCGAAGTGAGGAAGAGCCTATGGAGGTCGATCATTATCGTCCTAAGTCTAAATGCTTTAAGTGCAATCGAACAGGTCACAGAGCAAGGGACTGTAGGTTCGACGAAAGGACTAGGTCAAGTAATAGGCCCAGCGTCAACGCAGTTACAAATGATAAGGGAGGGACTCCCGGTAGACCGCTGGCCATGCTGTGTTGGTCGTGCAATCAACCAGGTCATTTCAAAAGAGATTGTCCAAACAGAGCCAGGAATTATGGGGTGAACTATGGAGCACACAGGGGACAACATAACAACAGTTTAAACTAAAGACTCCTTCTCATAATGAAACCGCTGGGAAGAGGAATACTATAAATTTAGCTGGTAGCCCGAGTTCATGTACAGTTAAGATAGGAAAGCAACAATACAGGTGTTTAATTGATTCTGGGGCTGAAGTTTATATTATCCATAGAAGGTTTTTTCATAAGCTAAAAGGGCTCTATGAATTAGGTAAGAAAAAGGTTTCACTGCAATCTGTCAATGGGGATGACTTAGAAGTAGATGGTTTTGTAAACATAACGTTTAAGATGAGAGGTGTGCCGTTAAGTCATCAAATTTATGTTGTAAGCAACATGAACAGGAACATTTTTGGGGGGGAGGGATTGGCTGAAACAAAATGGTGTCAGGCTCTACTCCGACCTCGGTAGCTTAAGGATAGGAAAGACCTATGTACCTTTGGAAGAAGTCCTGCACATTGCCTCGATTATTCGCCTGGCTGGGGACACCATAGTAAAGCCTCAGAGTAGAAGTCTATGCAGGGCAAAAGTTAAGCAAGGGCCACATTTTTCTGACACTACTCTTTACCAAGTGTTACCAGAAGCTTCATTGGTATGTGCAACTATTATCGTCGCTTCATTCCCAACTTCTCAAAGATCGCTGAACCGATTGTGAGGTTAACAAAGAAATATGCCAGATTTTCCTGGACAGAGGAATGCCAACGAGGTTTTGATTTCCTGAAACAGAGTCTTACAGTGATACCGTTGCTGACGTATCCTGACCCAAACAAATCCTACATCCTATATACGGATGCGAGTGATAGCTGTATTGGTGCTTGTCTAGCCCAAATAAGTGATGACGGGACTGAGAAGCCTATTCATTTTCTGTCGCACAAGCTGAGTGACACACAGACACGCTGGGCAACCATAGAGAAAGAAGCATATGCGATACATTTTGGCCTACAGAAGCTTGACCATTACTTGCATAATGTAGAGTTTGTGATCAAAACTGATCATAAACCATTAAAGTACCTATTGGAGTCCCCACAGTTTCCTGTGTTTGTAGATGAAAGACTCGAAAGAGAAATATACATAAATCAATCAAGAAAAAACAATCTACCCTTGTTCAGTTGACAGAAAGAAGGAAACATCAACTTAAAGGAAGGAAAACAGCTCTGAAAAACTGTATGTGTCTTGTCAGGTGCGTCAAGGGAATTTTTGACACATTCTTTAAACACGAGAATCATTGTGAACCACCAACATTTGCCACCATGGGAAAATGCGTTCTGGCACCAAATCTGATCTGAAGTCATGCCTGAAGACTTTTGTTGAAAGCACAACTTGGCCTCCTCATGTCGATGCGGTTCTGATTGATGAAGCTGCAATTGAGAATATATATTTTGAATGCATGACCCTTGGTGACTATTCACAACTTGTATCTCAACCCTATGTACAAGTACCGAATGTTGATGTCATTTGGGATGTATACTTTACACACAGAATGAAGGAAACCACTAGGTTCAACAGAGGTATTGGTCGAAGAAGACGTGTTCAAACAATAGGATTCCAGAATAATGGGAGTCTTTCTAGATATCATCTGACAACACAGGTGAACTATTCAGCTTTTTGACAGAACTGATAGCGCCCCAGGACATAGAAACACAAATAGTTGCCACACGTGGGAATCTGGTTCTGACAAACAAGGTAACTGCAGATATTGGTTCTATTGTTCCTTGTTCTCACGAAGAGGCAGACACTTGATTGTTGTTGCATGCCATTGATTCGTCGCACCATGGGCACAGATGGTTTATGCTTAGAACTATGGACAGTGATGTACTTGCCCTTGCCACTGCTTTATTGCACGAACATGGCGTGTCACGTTTGTGGATCGCGACCAGAACAGGGCAAACGTTCAGATATATTGCGATGCATGGTATTGTTTCAGGAACTGGTGAAGATGTAGCCAAAGCTCTTGGTGCCTTTCACGCATTTACCTGGTGTTACCAAGTGTCCTTTGGAAGCAAGGGCAAAAAGACGGCATGGAACGCACGGATAGCAGCCACAGAAGTCACTGAAGCATTTCAGACACTGCTCATCAAACGGGACATTTCAGTTGAGACTATTCAACTAACAGCTTCAACAATGTATGAACACACCAAGCAAATTGCCTACCAGGATGTAAACGCATGGCCCTTGAAAGAGATCCAGCTCCGTAGTGTTGGCTTAAAACTCCAAGGGATTCTGACGAGCCCCCCTGGACTAAACTACAAGAGGCGTCCAAGTCATGTGGAGAGCCACTGAAGTGCGGATGCAAGAAAGGATGCAGAGCATATGGTTTACATGTGTTGTTGCAGGTCTTGCGTGCACACCTCTTTGTGAATGTGGCAACGGTTGCAACCAAACTCAGGTGACAGAGATACGTGTAATTCAATGTACAACTCTGGATGATATGTTTGATCATTGTGGTTGTATTCTTTATGTGATATATATATGAGGATAATTTTGGTGGCCATCTTTGATTTGGCGGAGAGATAAATGTTTGTGCTGGGATGAAGATCCCGTGTACCAAATGTGATGCTTTTAACTCAAAGTACACAATTTAGTCAATAAGCCGCTCCACTAATATACTCAGCAACAAAAGAAACTGTCATGCCGATTTGCTGTATAATTTTCATGAAAGTTTGTGTTGGTTGCACACACCATATGCAGTCTATGAAACAGAGCGAAGGGATGACAATCTCGTGCTGCAGAGGATAATTATGAAAAAGTGGAAAGTTTGTTGGATAAATATACCAACATCATCGGTAGTCTGGCATGTGATCATTTTCAAAGTGGGAACAATCTCCATCGGAAAAACCCCGTCGATTTATCCAATACAGTTAGTCATAAGCATGCAACGATTGTTCTAAATTGACCGTAAAAAAGCTATTGGTATGATGGAATATGAGGACGTCTGTATGTGAGGTGGCATGATGGGTTAACGTTCACAGTAACAAAACGTGTAACCATTAAATTTTAACCACCCACATCCGACAACAGTTCGAAACTGCAACAATTACTGCCAACACTTTCCCAGGGCTTCATAGGATATCGACACAGACAGTTAGAGAGTTTACGGCGTTATGGCATCGTTGCTCGGAAACCCGCAAGACAACCAATTTTGACTAATAATCATCGTCGTTGGGCAGTGGTTTACGATTGGTTACCAATCAGTGGAGACAGGACATGTTTACAGACGGATCTGATTCGAATGTGCAGAAGTTGTGGTGAACATTATTCTAATAACTGTGCCATGAATGAAGATCGGTTAGGCGGGGAAAGTGTTATGGTATACGCAGGAATAACAGCAATGCAGAGATAACAGTTGGTGGTTATTGCCAGAAATCTCAATGCCCAACGTTATAGAAATGAAACAATATAACGTGTGGTGCTACCTTCCCTCTGACCAGTGAACGCTTTAACCACTAGGCTAACCGACCGCCCCTAATTTTGTTTGGATTGTTTTGGACAAACACGACTGGCACATATTACATGCATCCACTTGTCATTCTGTCTTTCTTTCAAACTTTTGTTTACAATAAACGAAATAATCAATAACAGTATTTCACAAATGTCTCTTTTGTTACAGTGAAGTATGTTTCGGTATGCGATGTGCCTCGTGATGCTGTTCATCCTTTCTCTTGCGTGCATCTACTTAACATCAGTGCGACATCTCACAACAGACCACAGGTACTATATGGGGGTTATTCTCTTGTGTAACTACATGTCATGACATCTCACAACAGACCACAGGTACTACATGGGGGTTATTCCCTTGTGTAACTACATGTCATGACATCTCACAACAGACCACAGGTACTATATGGGGGTTATTCTCTTGTGTAACTACATATCATGACATCTCACAACAGACCACAGGTACTATATGGGGGTTATTATCTTGTGTAACTACATGTCATCGACATCTCACAACAGACCACAGGTACTTTATGGGGGTTATTCTCTTGTGTAACTACATGTCATGACATCTCAAATCAGACCACAGGTACTATATGGGGGTTATTCTCTTGTGTAACTACATGTCATGACATCTGAAAACAGACCACAGGTACTATATGGGGGTTATTCTCTTGTGTAACTACATGTCATGACATCTCACAACAGACCACAGGTACTATATGGGAGTTATTCTCTTGTGTAACTGCATATCATCAACATCTCAAAACAGAGACAGGTACTATATGGGGGTTATTCTCTTGTGTAACTACATGTCATGTCATCTCACAACAGACCACAGGTACTATATGGGAGTTATTCTCTTGTGTAACTACATATGATGACATCTCACAACAGACACAGGTACTATATGGGGGTTATTTTCTTGTGTAACTACATGTCATGACATCTCACAACAGACACAGGTACTATATGGGGGTTATTCTCTTGTGTAACTACATATCATGACATCTCACAACACACACAGGTACTATATGGGAGTTATTGTCTTGTGTAACTACATGTCATGACATCTCAAAACAGACACAGGTACTATATGGGGGTTATTATCTTGTGTAACTACATGTCATGACATCTCAAAACAGACACAGTTACTATATGGGAGTTATTCTCTTGTGTAACTACATATCATGACATCTCACAACACACACAGGTCCTATATGGGAGTTATTGTCGTGTGTAACTATATATCATGCTCTCGTGCAACTATACGTCATGGTATGCCCATACATAAGTTACATATATTATCATGAAGCTTATTTTATGTTATATCAATATGGTAGATGGCTTTACAATATTCGTGACTTATTCTGAGGCACAACAATGTCTTTGGCACATCAATAATTAAAAACAATTTAGTGTTTTGGCACATCCCTCTATCTCACGATGTCAAGTATCTGATGTCCGTTCCGAACACATGGTGAGGTGAGGTGAGGTGAGGTGAGGTGAGGTGAGGTGAGGTGAGGTGAGGTGAAATGGGGTTAAACGTCGCGTCGCGATTATGCACTCTTCTGGCGACATGTATGCACGTGTGTGTGTTTGTGTGGCTGCTTGTACCGATTTATAGTGGTAGCTCACTGAGATACACTACTGCCTAAAAGTTCATTCCCCTAACATGCGTTGATAACGCGTGTAACACGTATGTGACACGGGTGCTCAACGGGTTGCACACGGGTTGAACACCCGTTGAACACGCGTGTGCCATGCGTGTAACACGGGACCGGGTTTCAGTTGAAGTTGGAAAATATATCAAATGGATAGTGAGATAAATCAAACAGTGAGATGTGAATCTTGAGTTAATGAGCGGCCATTGACCTGTGTTCACCAGACCATGAACACAAGGTCGGCCCGTCTTAATTAGTGTTCGGTTGCTGGACTTTTATGGCATGAACCATTCCACGAGGGTCCAGTCTAGCCATTGTGCATGGCTACCCGACAGTGGAACAGTAGTGAGTTTTTAGAAGCGAGTTTATTGCTAGGGGAATCCCCGAGTTGACACGAGTGTCGCGGGTTGGTAAATGCTCGCCATTAATGAAGTGATTGTTTGTGGATTGCGAACATATTCGTTTTAAGTTTTGCCCACGTGAGTCATTCAGGGTGACTTCAAATATATCGTTTTTCGTTCGCCAAATTTATGCTTTAGATAGTACAATTATGATAGAACAGTCATCAGAGCTTATGTCTTATCATTTCACGTAGGAATATGTCCCATTTTCCCACACCCAACTTTCTGTTTGGTATTTTGTAGAATTATTCAGAGAAAGTTTTGTGTGGGACCACGGACTTGTATAATATATATAGGTTATATAGGTCCGTGGTGGGACTTAACATTTATCATTAATTCGAAGAGGATATTGGAAGTGAATATTAACAGCCATTTTGTCTCACTGTTGATAGAATTTTAGATCTTCACAATCACCGAGTGTGACCATGTAGACAGAATCTCGTTAGGGTTTGTGATTTTTACATTTACTCAATGACCATGGTGAGTGTTGTTGGGGATACCAAAGATGATAGTTTACTATCAGAGGAAATTGGTTGTGAGTGCTTATACCATTTGGATAGGATTTTAATCCTTTCTTTTTCTGTGGGTAATTCTTTCACGTTGATGGAAGGAAGTCACTCAACCAGGCCATGACAATGGTTATGCGCAAGGCTCGGAATCGCGAAAAGCTCACTGGAGGTGTTGATGGAGGCTGGACATGCAGCATACAGCATTTCCAGTGTAGGCTGGCACCTCGTCTTTGTTTCACTCGGTATTTAAAACCTTGACCATTCACAGGTGCATTTGTCTATTTACAATGAAGTTGTTTAGCGTTCCCAGTATTTCTATACTATCTCACTGATTACTTTGTCACTGCAAGTGTCTTAATTATTTAAATTTCAGTGAAGTGAGTTTATTCACATGTTAGCTTTCATAGGTTGTGATTGATACTTGTATAATCCTCAGTTGCGTTTACTCACTAACGACTGTGAGCGTTTTGGCATGACTTCTGTGCTTGTATAAACACAGTAACTGCTAAAAGCGGCGTAAAACCATGCTCACTCACAGTAACTGTTAATCCTCTGCATTGTGCTGGCAAATTGGGGAAAAACCTGTGACGATCAAACTTAGTTAAAATCCTTGTTTATCTGTGACATCTTCCAACTGGTGACATTTTAGTAAACTTCAAAAGTGATGATGAATTTTAATATTCATATTATTATAGTTTTTCAAATTGTAAATAAAACTTTGATAAAATTGTGCTACACTCTCTGGAAAAATGCATTGTCTGTGGGTAAGTTTATTTGTCACGTCACATCAGCATTTTTTCAGTTATATTGCGGCGAAATATTTGCCAGCTTATGGGACTACATGTACACAATATTTGAACAGTATCGTAACATTTGCATATATAGTCATATTCAGATGATGTCTCTACATATTTGTAAGGGCAAGCTTCTTCCCTTTGTTTAGTCAGCAGCTTTCCTCCTGGCTATGGATGTGAAACACAGGCTTTAGGGTTACATATGAATCTTGTTATCATTGTATTTTGATGCGATTTGAATATCATTATTTACTATCGTACTTACCTCATGTTTTAAATGAGACGTTTTATGTTTATATGTCACCACAAATTACAATTATTGCTTGTAAGCTCAGCACAATTGACAAATACTCTAAAAGATATGACTAGTAAACCATTAATGTACGTTGAAGAATATAAATTGTAAATGCCAGAATGATGTATCCGGGATCAAGTAGAAGATATATGGACAGCAGCGCTGGGAATTTATTCAACAAGCCCGTGAAAACAACACTGCTTTAGCTCAATGTTTACCACTCCTGGCGGCCATTATGCAACGCCATTTTACACACAACCTCGCGCTCACGTCTACAGGTCTTTTCCTGTGGTACGGTAATTAGTAGAACCCCCTCCCTCAAGTGTATCCTCCATGATATAACCTTCTCTCATTAATTAAATGCTGCCCTTTCCCAGCGTCACGGCTATGGAGCTGAGACAAAGAGACCCAACCACCATATTGTAATTAGGGTCCAATAAATACAATGCTCCACCAAACCTCATAAACATGATCACTGAAAGTCGTACTACAGACGTTAATGTCAAATCACAAAAAAACATTTGAATAGCAATAACATTTAACAGGATCATGTATTCTCTTTACACCATCGCAAAACATCATGTAGAAGCCACAACAGTACTCATATTTTCCAACAAAATCACATCTAAAAATGAGACATCAGCAAGTACATATAATAAAAATATAATAATGTGTATTAACATTTTTCCTCAGGAAATCAAAAGGTTATCTCCTTGTTACCACCTCCAGGTTCAGCTAAACATGGGTCCTCCTTTGGTCAAAAGTTTGTTTCCCCTCTAATGAGTGTGACACGCGTTGCACACGAGTGACGAACGGGGTGCACACGCGTGGTGGACGGGTTCCACACGAGTGACCACCGGGGTGCACACGGGTTGCGTAACGCGTTGCCCATGCATGTAAGGGGAATGAACTTCTAGGCAGTAGTGTACCATGCCGCAGTTTAACATGAACACCCCACTCAGACACAGTATACTGACTCCGAGCCGACCAGTCCTTGTTGTAGCCCCTTAATGTCGAGGGCCAGACAGGGTAACAACAAGCACCATCTTTTAACGTCTTTTGGTATGACGCGGCCGGGGATCGAACCCCGGACCCTCCGCTCTCCGGGCGGACGCTCTACCACTAGACTACGGAGGCGGTCAGCTTAACGTGAACAGTCGAATAAAAACGTTCTTTTCCGATCATCCAAGCATCGCCCAATTGCAAACTGAACTGACTCCAAGGGTGCGTGCTTATCCAAGTTACCTCCCTTGGTCTAACCAAGATCAAGCTGCATTATCTCCCTTGGTCCAACACTTTCATTTTAAAGAGTGAGTGAGTGAGTGAGTATTTTCGAGCAATATCACAGCGAGGGACAACCCGTGAACATTCCGGGGTAGGATAGGTCTTCAGCAACCCATGCTTGCCGTAGAAGGCGACTATGCTTGTCGTAAAAGGCGACTAACGGGATCGGGTGGTCGGGCTCGCTGACTTGGTTGATGCATGTCATCGATCCCAATTGCGTGGATCGATACTCATGATATCAATCACTGGATTGTCTGGTCCAGACTCGATTATTTACATATCGCCGTCATATAGCTGGAATATTGCTGAGTGCGGCGTTAAACAACAAACAAACCAACCAACGGCGGGGGACACCAGAAATTATCTTCACACATTTTGAATTTTAGATTACCTTTCAAAGTTGAAACAATGTTAGATCTCAACACATATATTTTCTAATATTAAAACTATGCTGATTCAATATTTTCAACAGAGCAATCTCAGATCAACTATATTTCAACACTGCAACAATGTCATGTGTCGGCTGGGATTGCACAAGTGTCAGTTTTCATACTTCCGGCAGCATGGATGGACCAGTAGTCCATTCCTTTAGAGAATCTGATCTATTATCTTTGGTGCTGTATTCACATCTAAAGATCTCCATAACGTTTTGGTCTAACTTCCCACATTGAACCGACACGCGGTGATGTAACTGAATCTCCAGTTAAAACAAACATACTTAACGTATTCATTTTTTCCACCAGGCCTCAAGGGACACGACAAGCAGAAGTAGTGAGCACGAGGGATGACGTGTTAGCTCAAAAAACAAGACACGTTGCCAATGGCAAAACTGTGACCTATGAAAGTCAAGATTCATTTGTAAAGACTTTTAAAGTTGCAGAATCCCAGAAGAATAAACCTATTGGATACACTGACCAGCCTCCTAGAACACGTTTCCTCATCTACCTTTGTGAAAGAGCAGGACGGTGTGGAGGTTGGGCAGACAGGCAACGAGGCATAGTTGCTGCATATCTTCTGGCCAATGTAACAGGGCGACGGTTCGGCGTCAACATGACCACGCCATGTGATGTCAAGCTTTTCTACATCCCCAATATCGTCAACTGGTATGTGAGAGAAAGCGAACTTCTGGGTTTGAGTTGGGAAGTGCTTGACTGGAATAACAGATTTGATCCTAACGAGGTTAACCATGACTTGAACATCAATCACCCTTGTGATGTCATCTTCTTAAAAACAAATGTTGATTCAATCACAGTAATTCAAAAGAGCCCACAATATGGTCATCTTGTTCCAGAGCCGTTTAGAAACCCCAACTGCGGTAAAGTGTTTCACACAATTTGGCACCTTCTCATGAAGCCATCACTTCATTTTGAAGAACGCATAAACAAGTTTATGAGTGAAATACCGAAAACAGATGAGTTAGTTTGCGCCCATGTACGAATGAGGAGAAATCCAACCATTCCTAATGATGGCGCTCAAATCAATTCCTTGTCCACTGTCAAATACCTATGGACATTTCTATCTAAATTCAAAAATGCGAGTCGTGTTTTCATTGCTAGTGACTCCATGGACGTGCGGCTTAGTGCCAGGAAATATTTCGGCGCCAGGGAAATTGACACTGGCGGGCTGATAGTGCATATTGACAGACAGGGAAAGAAGCCCAATGCAATTTGGGGCTTTGAGTTGGCACTGCTAGACCAGACTGTTCTCAGTCGCTGTCGTGTGCTAGTTGTGTCAAAAAGTGGCTTCAGTGCCAGAGCAGCCATGATGTCACGCCGTGAGCAAGAAATTTTTGAGTTCCAAAATGGCACCGTCACTCCATTTCTTCGTCTGAAATCCAGGGTCTTCTAAAAAGCATTTTCTTTTTTCGATTACATATGTATACAGTTAAATCCCTATCAGTTACTTATAACTCAACAGGGGCGGTCGGGTAGCCTAGTGGTTAAAGCGTTCGATCGTCACGCCGAAGACCCGGGTTCGATTCCCGACATGGGTACAATGTGTGAAGCCCATTTCTGGTGTCCCCCGCCGTGATATTGCTGGAATATTGCTAAAAGCGGCGTAAAACCAAACTCACTCACTCACTATAACTGAACAATTACCCAACATTCCCAGGCCCGAGGAAGCAGATGTTCGTCGTTCTCAACGTAGAGTATATGTACAAATAAACAATAGTCCCATTTTCCCACACCCAACTTTCTGTTTGGTATTTTGTAGAATTATTCAGAGAAAGTTTTGTGTGGGACTTAACATTTATCAGTAATTCGAAGAGGATATTGGAAATGAATATTAACAGCCATTTTGTCTCACTGTTGATAGAATTTTAGATCTTCACAATCACCGAGTGTGACCATGTAGACAGAATCTCGTTAGGGTTTGTGATTTTTACATTTACCCAATGACCATGGTGAGTGTTGTTGGGGATACCAAAGGTGACAGTTTACTATCAGAGGAAATTGGTTGTGAGTGCTATACCATTTGGATATGATTTTAATCCTTTCTTTCTCTGTGGGTAATCCTTTCACGTTGATGGAAGGAAGTCACTCAACCAGGTCATGACAATGGTTATGCGCAAGGCTCGGAATCGCGAAAAGCTCACTGGAGATGTTGATGGAGGCTGGACATGCAGCATACAGCATTTCCAGTGTAGGCTGGCACCTCGTCTTTGTTTCACTCGGTATTTAAAACCTTGACCATTCACAGGTGCATTTGTCTATTTACAATGAAGTTGTTTAGCGTTCCCAGTATTTCTATACTATCTCACTGATTACTTTGTCACTGCAAGTGTCTTAATTATTTAAATTTCAGTGAAGTGAGTTTATTCACATGTTAGCTTTCAAAGGTTGTGATTGATACTTGTATAATCCTCAGTTGCGTTTACTCACTAACGACTGTGAGCGTTTTGGCATGACTTCTGTGCTTGTATAAACACAGTAACTGCTAAAAGCGGCGTAAAACCATGCTCACTCACAGTAACTGTTAATCCTCTGCATTGTGCTGGCAAATTGGGGAAAAACCTGTGACGATCAAACTTAGTTAAAATCCTTGTTTATCTGTGACATCTTCCAACTGGTGACATTTTAGTAAACTTCAAAAGTGATGATGAATTTTAATATTCATATTATTATAGTTTTTCAAATTGTAAATAAAACTTTGATAAAATTGTGCTACACTCTCTGGAAAAATGCATTGTCTGTGAGTAAGTTTATTTGTCACGTCACATCAGCATTTTTTCAGTTATATTGCGGCGAAATATTTGCCAGCTTATGGGACTACATGTAACATAGTTTATGATTGATACGTTTTATAGTGTCTCGTAGGCCATATTTGGCCGGATGTTATATTTTACTGTTTTGTATATATCCTATCACGAAGTGTATATAACATGTGACACTTTAATAAACAATATTCTCTCTCTCTCTCTCTCTCTCTCTCTCTCTCTCTCTCTCTCTCTCTCTCTCTCTCTCTCTCTCTCTCTCTCTCTCTCTCTCTCTCTCTCTCTCTCTCTCTCTCTGTGTAACATGCCTGCTTTTATATTTCCTTTACAGGTGCTTGACTGCCTCAGTAGTGCATGATCAATTAGAATTTTTATTGTGTGAACAATCAGTCAAGTTTGCAACAGGAGATGAATAAGTTGATAAATTTGGACCGCAGTTACCGATTAACAACTTAAGACATAGAGACAGGTCGTCGATATTATAACAAACGTTATGGTCCTGTTAAGACGATTGACAGTTAGAACGTTGGCGTAAATGACCATATATTGTAGGGTCAATCGCTTTTTACATGTTTAAACTCACCTTAAGGCACACGACAAGTCAACACCTGCTGCCCTGATTATGTTCTTATGTTTGACAGCAACTATGCCCGTCGATTTCAGAGAAAGATATGATTTTTACCTTGATGTTATTACAATAAGCGAAAATGTCTTCAAAGTCCACAGTTTGATAAATAGTACAAAAATAAGAGTGTTAAAAATCAACGTTTTCTTTTATTAAACACAATATTTGAACAGTATCGTAACATTTGCATATATAGTCATATTCAGATGATGTCTCTACATATTTGTAAGGGCAAGCTTCTTCCCTTTGTTTAGTCAGCAGCTTTCCTCCTGGCTATGGATGTGAAACACAGGCTTTAGGGTTACATATGAATCTTGTTATCATTGTATTTTGATGCGATTTGAATATCATTATTTACTATCGTACTTACCTCATGTTTTAAATGAGACGTTTTATATTTATATGTCACCACAAATTACAATTATTGCTTGTAAGCTCAGCACAATTGACAAATACTCTAAAAGATATGACTAGTAAACCATTAATGTACGTTGAAGAATATAAATTGTAAATGCCAGAATGATGTATCCGGGATCAAGTAGAAGATATATGGACAGCAGCGCTGGGAATTTATTCAACAAGCCCGTGAAAACAACACTGCTTTAGCTCAATGTTTACCACTCCTGGCGGCCATTATGCAACGCCATTTTACACACAACCTCGCGCTCACGTCTACAGGTCTTTTCCTGTGGTACGGTGATTAGTAGAACCCCCTCCCTCAAGTGTATCCTCCATGATATAACCTACTCTCATTAATTAAATGCTACCCTTTCCCAGCGTCACGGCTATGGAGCTGAGACAAAGAGACCCAACCACCATATTGTAACTAGGGTCCAATAAATACAATGCTCCACCAAACCTCATAAACATGATCACTGAAAGTCGTACTACAGACGTTAATGTCAAATCACAAAAAAACCATTTTAATAGCAATAACATTTAACAGGATCATGTATTCTCTTAACATCATCTCAAAACATCATGTAGAAGCCACAACAATACTCATATTTTCCAACAAAATCACATCTAAAAATGAGACATCAGCAAGTACATATAATAAAAATATAATAATGTGTATTAACATTTTTACTCAGGAAATCAAAAGGTTATCTCCTTGTTACCACCTCCAGGTTCAGCTAAACATGGGTCCTCCTTTGGTCAAAAGTTTGTTCCCCCTCTAATGAGTGTGACACGCGTTGCACACGAGTGACGAACGGGGTGCACACGCGTGGTGGACGGGTTCCACACGAGTGACCACCGGGGTGTACACTGGTTGCGTAACGCGTTGCCCATGCATGTAAGGGGAATGAACTTCTAGGCAGTAGTGTACCATGCCGCAGTTTAACATGAACACCCCACTCAGACACAGTATACTGACTCCGAACCGACCAGTCCTTGTTGTAGCCCCTTACTGTCGAGGGCCAGACAGGGTAACAACAAGCACCATCTTTTAACGTCATTCACATGGAATGAAGAATCGGTATCTTCCCACCTGGAATTTACAGCACAGGCTGCATTATCTCACTTGGTCCAACACTTTCATTTCAAAGAGTGAGTGAGTGAGTGAGTATTTTCCAGCAATATCACGGCGAGGGACAACCCGTGAAGATTCGGGGAAGAATAGATCTTCAGCAACCCATGCTTGCCGTAGAAGGCGACTATGCTTGTCGTAAAAGGCGACTAACGGGATCGGGTGGTCAGGCTCGCTGACTTGGTTGATGCATGTCATCGATCCCAATTGCGTGGATCGATGCTCATGATATCAATCACTGGATTGTCTGGTCCAGACTCGATTATTTACAGACCGCCGTCATATAGCTGGAATATTGCTGAGTGCGGCGTTAAACAACAAACAAACCAACCAACGGTGGGGGACACCAGAAATGAGCTTCACTCAATTTGAATTTTAGATTACCTTTCAAAGTTGAAACAATGTTAGATCTCAAAACTATGCTGATTCAATATTTTCAACAGAGCAATCTCAGATCAACTATATTTCAACACTGCAACAATGTCATGTGTCGGCTGGGATTGCACAAGTGTCAGTTTTCATACTTCCGGCAGCATGGATGGACCAGTAGTCCATTCCTTTAGAGAATCTGATCTATTATCTTTGGTGCTGTATTCACATCTAAAGATCTCCATAACGATTTGGTCTAACTTCCCACATTGAACCGACACGCGGTGATGTAACTGAATCTCCAGTTAAAACAAACATACTCAACGTATGCATTTTTTCCACCAGGCCTCAAGGGACACGACAAGCAGAAGTTGTGAGCACGAGGGATGACGTGTTAGCTCAAGAAACAAGACACGTTGCCAATGGCAAACCTGTGACCTATGAAAGTCAAGATTCATTTGTAAAGACTTTTAAAGTTGCAGAATCCCAGAAGAATACAACTATTGGGTACACTGACCAGCCTCCTAGAACACGTTTCATCATCTACCTTTGTGAAAGAGCAAGATGGTGTGGAGATTGGGCAGACAGGCAACGAGGCATAGTTGCTGCATATCTTCTGGCCAATGTAACAGGGCGACGGTTCGGCGTCAACATGACCACGCCATGTGATGTCAAGCTTTTCTACATCCCCAATATCGTCAACTGGTATGTGAGAGAAAGCGAACTTCTGGGTTTGAGTTGGGAAGTGCTTGACTGGAATAACAGATTTGATCCTAACGAGGTTAACCATGACTTTAACATCAATCACCCTTGAGATGTCATCTTCTTAAAAACAAATGTTGATGCGATCACAGTAATTCAAAAGAGCCCACAATATGGTCATCTTGTTCCAGAGCCGTTTAGGAACCCCAACTGCGAGCCATCACTTCATTTTGAAGAACGCATAAACAAGTTTATGAGTGAAATACCGAAAACAGATGAGTTAGTTTGCGCCCATGTACGAATGAGGAGAAATCCAACCATTCCTAATGATGGCGCTCAAATCAATTCCTTGTCCACTGTCAAATACCTATGGACATTTCTATCTAAATTCAAAAATGCGAGTCGTGTTTTCATTGCTAGTGACTCCATGGACGTGCGGTTTAGTGCCAGGAAATATTTCGGCGCCAGGGAAATTGATACTGACGGGCTGGTACTACATATTGACAGACAGGGACAGGAGCCCAATGCAATTTGGGGCTTTGAGTTGGCACTGCTAGACCAAACTGTTCTCAGT